CGGAACTTCAAGATTATAATCATTTACATTGAACTGCTATTTTTATATATTATAATTAATGTAAAGATATTATGAACAATGATAAAAGAAATTTCGAGCGCTATTTTAATGTTATTAAGTATCTTTCCTCTGAGCATCAATTCTTAATAACAAAAGTAAAATATTTATTCAATCCCTTCTCAATGCAATGGATAGTTTTTCGTCGAATGTTTTATGACTTCCTTTATTTGCGATTCTTTAAAGAAAATGCTCTTAATAGATTAATTCCAAAGCATCTTTTATTTCTGCTTAACCATAATTTGCAATTAACGCACATTGTTCTTGCATGCTCTCTTTTAAAAATGATCTTTTTTTTTATAGAAAGAAACGATTTTGTAATGTGTATGCTGAAATACTTAAAAATTCAGCTAAATACATGTCCGAAAATTATTTTATTGGACTATTAAAATAATTATGTACGACCTAAGCTAAATGTTAAATGTTGCTAGAATGTTAAAAAATTTTTTGCAGAATTACTCTTTATATTTGAGTTTCCTACGTAATTATTTTGCTGGTCCAATTAAATTATTTTTAAATTTATATTTAGCTAAATTATTAAACATTTTAACAAAATCGTTCTTTCTGTGTTGAGATGTTGTAAAGAAGCAAAATAGTTTGAATTGACATAACATTGCATATGAAGTATTTCGGAACGAATTGCTATATTTTATATATTTAATTAAAAGTTTTTATAAGTTGATATTTTAATTATTTTTATCACTTATTTACGATTATTAAATTTATTATTATATAATTTAAAAAATAAAGTTTATTTATAAAACTAACCGAAAAATAATCCATTTATATTTTAAAAAGTCAAATTATCAAAATTTTTCAGCTTAAAATTCTGAAAGAATGTCTGGTAGTTTTATTATTTAATCGGCGTACTGTTTTTTTTCCATTGGGAAAAAGCTGATTGTTTTGAAAAAAATAGTTGACAGATAACTCAATATTCCTGGGATACCATAAAAGATATTATATTTGTTAACGAGATGTTTACATCCATATCGTTTGTCTCGTCAGTGTAACTACAATACACTACAATTCGTAAAAAACGGCCGTGAATATCCTCTATTTGCGTACTATGTTCTCGATTTTCAAGTTACGTAATTGTTGGTACGAGATTTCAAAATTATGACGTTTTTGCACTTTTTTTACATACGGAAATCAATTCCAATTATTGCACACAATGATGTGGGGAAACAAAAGAGGTTGTAAATCAGAAAAGGACCTAACCACTCTCAAAGAAAGAACAGAGTCTGGGAGATTTTTAATACCAGATAGGATTGAGAGGTGCGGGCAGGTTGTAGCGGTTTTAAAAGGGGGCGGAAATTTGTCATCTTTGAGGGCGTATGCATATCTAACGGTATGCAACGCCGTATGCAACAACTATGCCTGAGAGGCGTGTAAATTTTAACGGTTCGCCGGCAAGATGGTGGGCGCATTTCTATCTGGCGTGTGTCGCGTCCGCTTGTCCACTGTGCTCCCAAGTCTGCGAAATTGCTCCTCCAGGTAATTACACCGTGTTGAAATCGTTTTCACGTGTGACCGCCCGTTTTTCGTTACGGGACGAAATGAGAACCTCGTGCGAAAATGCAATTCGCGAAAATGTATGCGCGCAGCTCGTTCATTTGACTCGAGGCAGTTTGTATACACGAGAAATGTTTACTTTGCATAAATAATATTCTCGGGACAAGGAAACCATGGAGTATATAGGAATGCGCGCGCAATGTGGCTTGTATCATAATAGCACGTATGAAGCGTCAAGAACGCGCGAGATTGTGGAGAATCCATATGTCATCGAAGAACGCGGCTTGCAAATAATTCTACACTGGAAAAAGATGATCTGATTGCATTAGAATTCTGTTTGAAAATGGACGAATCAAAATTTTCTGGTTGAATTATAATTCTAATTGAGATAACCAGAATTTCAACCAGAATTTTTTCTGAGTACGAGACGCGATTTTTTCTGGTTAACTTGTGATTTAGAATTAACCTCATCTTTGATTAACTTGATGTAAAAATATTTTTCTTCCTATGATTAATCACTAAACTGATAATTTCGTAGTAATAACTTTAAATTCACTTTAAATTACACAACTTAGTTTGGTGATTAACTATAGCTAGAAAAATTTTTACATTATCACATCAGGATAAGTTAATAAAACCATAAGTTAATAAAAAAATGAAAAACCGGGCATAAGTAACACGCTTTGCAATTAAGGATGTATTACTTTATTCCCAATTTCAAAAAAATATGTATAAATATATCAAGAATAAGTTTAGTAATAAATATTAATTTCAAATTTTAGAAAGAATAACTATGTCTGCTGTGTATCACGTTAATTTCGAAACGCTCAGTATATTATAATTAATGTATAAATAAAATATTGAAAATATGCAGGCAATAATAAAATAATTTCTTCAAAATATCTCGACTTTTTTTGGTCTAAATCGTGCTGAAAATGAAACAATTAGAATTTTATTATCCAGGACAGAAAACTGTAGACAATTACGGAAAAAAACAATTTTGCTGAAGTATTTAAACATTTACTTACACTAAAAAAATATTAAATTTTAATTAATATTTGTTTAAATATAGTTCTAAAGAAATATTTACTAAATGTAAGCATATTTATTTGATACAACAACTATTAATTTGGCTTTTTTACTACCATTTTTTATTGGATTAATGTTTGCTGTAAGTAAATGTTTACTCTTAGTACTATTAAAAAAAAATCTGTGTTGTGTGTGTGTGTGTGTGTGTGTGTGTGTGTGTGTGTGTATTAAGATTTAAAATTAAATTTTGTCCCGTATAGATATAGAAAATAATTTTGTTGAAACTATTAAAATAATTATATAAGAAACTCAAACATGATGAACAATGCTGCAAAAAATTTTAATATTTTAGCTATCAGCTTGAGTGTTCTCTATAATTATTTCGATAGTCCAATAAAACTATTTTCAGAGATCTGTATTTAATCTGTACTAAATTTTTAGATACTTCAGCGAAATCGTTCTTTCTGCACATTAAAATAACGATCTTAGAATATCTTGACTTTTTCTCGTGTCTAAATCTTGCTGAAAATAAAATCAAAGTAAAAATTCTCTCTATTATGCAGAGAAGAAAATAAATGCAGGGAGTTAATGCGACTTATCATCCTCCGCTCGATTTCATCTGATAGACTAGATTACGACGATCATAAAGTTCAAAGCTGTGTAACTGTATCGCCAGTGAAGCTGACGTTTGTTGGATATCGTTTGGTCTACGTTGGCGTTCGCCGGTATTGAATAACGCTCATTACACTTTTGTGACCGCGAGGAAAGGGATATCATAGAATCGGCGAGACAGCGATTGCTCATTTCACGTTTACGATCGGGGGAGGAGGGGTGGGGGAGGGGAGGGGTGAAGATTTTCATGGAGATGATTTTATCCTCGAACTTTTCATCGATGTAGACTTGGGGCATGGTCTTTCTTCCAAGCGACACAATGAGCTTTTGTTTCTATTGAAAACGACGTATTTCGCCCAAGATATTAATCGGAGCGAAACTCTGGCGCGGATCAAGCGGTATTATAGCGGTCGCGTGTGCGCTCGTACGCGAGACCGCGGTCCGATTGAATCGTAAATTACCCCGCAGCGAATTATTCATGGCGCGCGTTTTCGTTTCGGTAGGCTGCGTAATAATCCAACCGCCCGTTTTGCAACGCGTCAATTTTTAATGCCGTCTCGGCTTTTCGCGCAAGATTTGTCACCGTCGCGTTACCCCCGCGCAAATACATCCACGATGCGATCATTAATCATGAACAACTCGGTAGAATTATTCACTAGTCTCTCCATGCAGTCGGTAAAAGCCGATCGGCGGGTAAAGCCGCGGGTGTGAAATGGATTGGTTTTAACGAATGGCTGATCTCTCTATTTTGATGCACGATATCTTGGTTGTGCCAGAGAGGAAAGCATATGTCGATGTCGATTAGCAGCTCGTAATTAACTTTTTTCCTGCAAAATCTGGGTCTTTTTTGGTACAAGCGAAATTTCACTCTCATTTTTGCTTAAATTTAAATTTTTATTAATCCTTTGCGAACCGACGATCCCATTTGGGGTCACTTTTTTTTATTTTATAAATTGTTCGCTCGATTTTTATGAAACTTGGGATAATTTGGTAATTTGCTCGAATTTAAGTCAAAACTATAAAATTCAAAATGGACAGAACAATAATTTGACTATTATACAACTCGGTTTTAGAGTTAATTGCAAAGTAGCATCAAGTTCCTAGTTTTGCTTTATTTGAAGCTCATCAAAGCTATGGCAAACAGTTAATACTGATTTTCAAACTAACTTTCAAACTTTGATTGTAAGTTTTGTGACTTCTATTTCATGGAGGTTACCTTCTTGAAATTCGATATTTTCAGACTACATTCAAACTTAGATACCAAGACTATCCTAAAACCGAGTTTCGCGATAATCAGATCATTTTTTGAAATTTGAATTTTAAAATTTGGAGGTAAATCGAATTCAGCGACTTTGAAAGCCTTTAGAAAACAAGATGTTTCACAAGTTACTTTGTTAGAAAGCTTCAGTCTTTAAATAAAAAGTTTAACATTCATATCAAAAACTATTTGGTAATGTAATAAACATGTTAAAAGGTAACCTTGAATTTTTTTTTGAAAATCTAGAATAGTAAAAATTTTGGGCTGAGCAAAAAAATTGCATACTGTTCTAGGTTTTAAAAAAAATTGCATTACTAAATTTTTAATTGAAATGTTTAATTATTTTTATTTAATACAAATTGAAAAATATGAATAAAAATAAGAGTAAAATTTGAGAGTGACATTTGACTTTTGTGTCAAAAAAGACTCAGATTGAGGGAGGAAGTAAAAATATGATTGCCGATGGAGAATTAATATTTACAGTGTATGATGAATTTTTCTGCAATTAATTATTTCATTTTTTTATTTGCAGGAGGGATCTCGCGGTGATCGGAAAGAGGGGGGCAAGAGGGGACGCAAGCCTGGCAGGAAGGCGGCGGACAGGGCGGACATGAAAGCTAAGCTCGGTAAGTAGCTACATGAAGGATACTTGTTGACATCTCCTAGACACCTGCTTTAACATTTCGCGATCTAGCCGTCGTTCTAATGCTTATGTTATGATTTTATCTTGATTGCGACTCGAATTGAAATTGTTTCACGATGAAATTGTGCGACAACACAATTGTTGCTTCAATTAGATTAATGAAATAATTTGGAATCAGTAATTAAGCAATTATGATTAAAATTTATTAAATAATGCATAAGTATGAATTAATGGTTTGTCATTGCTCATTAATTATTATCTAATAATTATAAAATGAACGAAGTTATTAGATTTATTTCAGTAGTGTAACATATGTTAATTTATTTAATTAAAATTGTAATAAAAATATAATTATTTGAGTGACTGAGATAATTTAACTGTGAATGTGATTGATATATTATTTTTATGATTTATTGTTTGATAATAATCGAATATTGATTAGTATTTTATTATAAATTATAGGCCATTGATTACTTAAAATACAATCGCAATCAATTATCGATTTGATTAGATTTTGTCCATCATTGTTGTCGATGCTTTAATTGGTTATACAGAGAATAATACATTATACTAATTATAATCTAATAATTTATACTAATTACAATGTAATAAGTGAACTTTTCGATGTATGCTGATCGATTCGTAGACATAGAATAATCTATATGTATGAATTGGTGGTAATTGGAAATTATTGTTTTATAAGAATACATTATATTATACAAATTTTCTATAGAATTGTTTATTTGAAAAAATATCTTTCGTAATTCTGAGTGGCAAAAATATAGGATGACGAAAAGTTTGATCACAAAGTTTTGTACGTTTGTCAAATCATTATTCAAATTACGAGCTGATATTATTTGTCGTCATTTTTCCATTAAAATGACGTTAAAGCTATTATTGCCGTCAAACGTTTATCTTTTTTCCGTTTTTTTTTATTTTACAGAATATAATAATTCCTATTTATGTAAACATTATGTATAATATACATTTGTTATTATATAAAGAGTGACAAAGGTTTATGTGATAAAATTTTGTGTATTTCTTACAAATTATTACTCAAGTAGCAAGGTGACGTTGTTTGACATCATTTTCACGTTAAAATGACATTAAAGACATCAGCTTGCTACCTAGATAGTAACATATTAAACAAAATTCTGAAGCATTAGTTACATCTTATTAAACACTAAAAAGAGTCTGGGAAAATTTAATGGTGAAAAAACGCAGGCAATTGTTGACATGTGTCCCCGAAGCGTCTTAAAGTTTGCATCAAAACTGAAGGTGATCATTTTGGAAGCAGCGAGAAAAAAATTGTCCATTTGACTAAATTAATTTACTTGTTTTTATTTCTTTTGTTCGAGAATATATGTATTTAAGTCAAATATAATATATTTGACTTAAATGTATACATTTTTCACCGAAAGAAATAAAGATGAATTAAGATTTAGTCAAATGAATTTTTTTTAGTGTATTAATTATTAAGTATTTTTGATATTTTTAATTCTGTTTTTCGTTTAAATATACGTGTTATTAATTATTTGATAAACATAAACTTTATGGCCAAACTTTTTCTGCTCTGTACATGTTAATAGTAAGGATGATGATCAAAGGAATAATAAACGCGGATATTGGCCGACTGGGCCGACTTTATCTATTTCTCCGATGCACTGAGAAAAAACTTTTTGGTACTGTAATTATAATTACATATTACACACACACGCACACGCGCACACGCGCACGCGCGCGCGCGCGCACACACACACACACACACACACA